TTTGACTTTCTTTCTAATCCTCTATCTTTATCTGGGGCAGGGCCTCACTATTATTTGTTCAAGGAGAGGAGGGGATGTATTCTTGCGAAGTCACTCTAATTGGCTCCAAACAGTGCCAGCTAAACCAGAAGCAATTCTCTTCAAATTTGTACCAATTACTTCTCTTTCTCACCGGCATTCCTGGTAGTGGCTATCTTAGTCACGCGATCAACTTGTATCTACGTTGTGAGTGCTCCAATGCTCAATCAGTCAAAAAGAGTTTTTTTTCTAGTATCCTTTATCTTCCATAGGACATTGCTTACCTTCTGCTATTTCTCAACCATCAGCTAGGTTATGAGTAATGAGATAAATGTTTTGTTATTGGGCTTCGATAAGAGATAATTATGATCATTGACGTCTTTTTTCTTTCCCACTGACTATAGTTTTTGTATCCTTTAGACTTAGGGTCATTTGTTATGAAACAAACATCACGTTATTTGTTTTTCTAAAATGAACTTAGGTTATATAATATTTTCTCAATATGACTGTTTTTTCTCGTACCTTCTGCATAATTATTTGTTAATTTTAACGTTAAATAATATGCAAAAATTGCTGCTTTGATCTGTAGACAAGCCTACTCCCGAGGATTTGCACTACTTCTTGGAGTTCCAGGTGCCAAGTCATTGGGCACCTATGTTCTGTGAGCTTCCTCTCAGGCATCAGAGAAAGAAGGCTTCATCTGCTTCTCTGCAATTCAGTTTCATGGGTCCTAAGCTTTATGTGAGCTCAAGCCAGGTATTTAAGAGTAAAAGGTTATTGATATTGATCAGTTCATAATATGGAATTTTCTATGGTAATATCTATATGATCTGCGCATGGAAAGTCCAAAAGCAGAAAATCTTTTGATTTTCATTGGAAATGTTGGTTAATTATTGGAGGAAGAGTTGGAATTAGCTCACCACTTAGTAGAGGCAGAGTCAAAATATTTTAGTAGTGGGATCAATTAAGTATGAGCAACAATATTTACAAATGGAACAAAATTGACAAATTATTATTAGGTTGAAATAATCTTCTATTCTAGCAGCAAATGGGTTGAAATTATCATTTATTGTAACTAATAGGGTCAAACTTACCAAACTATTTAATATTGTTTTTTTGAAAGTTATTAAATAATCTTAACATTGTTTATTAAAATTTATTTATATATTGAATATACTGTCTTTTTTCACAAAATAAAGTGAAGTCAATGCCCCCATTTGATCGAGGGAGTAGCTGCCCATGTCAATGGCCTTTTGTTTTGCTACATGTAAATTTCAAAGCTGTTAGTTCTTTTTTTCTTTTGGAGATCATTTGTTACTGAATTTCGGGATTGCAGAAAGCCAAGTCATTTTTATTAGTGGTGAATTCAACAAATTAAACCCCAAGTTTGACAGTTCCTGTGGTGTCACAGTCCTTTGATCCTTTCATTTAAGAGATGAAGGCTTATTTAACATGGTTTTATTGTACAAACAAATAACTAACCAAATAAAAGTTTGGCTTGGTTCTCCTTGAGATCATATGCTTGTTTGTGCATGTGAAAATGTGCTTGTTATCACTGGTGTAATTTATTCGGTTCAGAAATATTTATTTTGTATGAATTATCATAATGTACTTTCACTGTCTATTCCAGGTTTCAAGTGATCAAAAGCCTGTCGTTGGCCTGCGTTTGTATTTAGAAGGGAAGAAATGCAACCAGCTGGCGTTGCATGTCCAGCATCTCTCAGGTCTTCCAAAGATTATGACCATTCCAGTAGCTAACGCCAACACAGGCAAGTTCTACTGGCGGGGTTCTGATGACTATAGAACTAGTGACCAATTCCTAGAGCCAGTCAGATGGAAGAGATATTCAAACATCTGCACATCAGTTGTTAAGCATGACACTAACTGGCTTCAAGGAAATTTGAGTGGTGTTTTTATCGTAACTGGAGTGCAGCTCGTCTGCAAAGGAACGTGGCCCAAGACGGTGTTGCATTTGCGTCTCCTCTTCACCCAGTTGCCCAACTGTGTCATTCGGAAGACGGAGTGGGTGGCCGCACCTGAGGCTTCTAATAAGCCTAATTTCCTCACTAATTTGAGCACTACCTTCACATTCACTCAGAAGACTGTCACTGGTCCACAAAAGCAGACTCCTGCAGTACTTAATTCCGGTGTATATCCTGATGGTCCACCCACACCAATTCGTGCTAAGAAGTTACTTAAATATGTAGAAACAGCAGAGATTGTACGCGGTCCACATGATGCTCCAGGGCATTGGTTGGTAACAGCTGCAAAACTAGTTACGGATAAGGGTAAGATTGGTTTACATGTGAAGTTTGCATTGTTAGAATATCCTTGATTAAATGTAAATATTGTGCTGAGTGCATATAAGATAAATGTATGTAGCGAAATAAATAATTACAATTTCTTACAAAATAATAGTAGAGTTTTATACAATACTGAAACAGAATTAATTACAAATCTTTATAAAAGATGGACTCTTCAGAGTACGAAATAACTATTTTTAAAAACTTAAAAGGGATAGATGAGCGATCAATTTCTTACTATTTTTCCCATTTGAAGAGGACATGAAAAGTAATGAGTTTCATATAATCAATAAGGAAGACAATATTTAAATAATAATATAAGATTTCAAAGGTAACTAAAAAGTATAAATATTTATTTACTATTGAAAGTCATGACAAGTTTAATTATAAAAATGATTTATTATAATTAAAAAAATTATCAAATTAAGTCATATTATGTCAAAATTATGTCATACTAATTAAATTAATTATGCTGAAAATAAAAAAAATTAAATAAATCATGATAGGTTTTTTATTTTATTTTATTTTTCATGCGAAATCATTTCGACTTCTATCTACTGAGTGCGGTACGAATTTTTAATTATTCATGTGGAATGACTAATTCAATTTAAGTTATAACATCAATTTGCGACTTATTAGACCAACGACACATTTGCGGTTTGTCAATCTGTGATACGATCTATGACTACGGTCGTGCCAACCACATTGGTTCTACATGTAAATTATGATTACAGTCATACTTCGTCAAATGTAACCTCTTCAATCGTATCGCGTCACCACTCTCATTAAATGGTACACCGTCATTCAAGGAAATGATTTTCTTACGTCTTTTTAGACAAAATAAGAAAGAAATAGAAGCTCCTTAAAAATAAAAAATTTAACGAAATATTTTATAAATCATGCATGCTGATACCAATACACATTTCTCATGCTGAAACATCACTTTCATTTCTTTACCATCGTATAATATCTCATGCCACAACATTTATCCCAAACAATTAATCATCCAAATTGGACGTGAAATTAATCGATTTACATATGATTACAAAATATGCAATTAATAACATATAAAATAAATTATGCAACTATTAAACTTAAACTTCGTTAATTTTAATATAAAAATACTTTTTAGAATGTTTAAAGGTCAATACTAAATTTCTTATTGAAATCTTGGTATTTTCTATGTCTTTTTTTTTTCTTTTCCTCTCATCTCTCTAGATCACTCCCTCTCTCTCTAAAATTCTTTGGTGGATGAAAAAATGAAGTGGAAGTGATGAGAAAATAGTGAAGTGAGTGTCCCTATTTATAAAAAAATGGGAATCATTTGATCTGCGCCAAGTGGTAAAATCTAGTGAAAAGAGAAAAAGTTAAGGTGAAATGATGAGATGTGACAACCGATGGATGTGACTGACAGTTAGACGACGTGATGTGACAGTGGCGTAGAAATCAGAGGCGATAGCGGCATGTTGCCTAAGCGAAGATGGCACGCCGCCCAAGCTGATAGCTACTCGGTGCCTGAAGGCAGAGCATAGTGCCTAAGGGGGTGACGTGCATTACTCGAGACAACGCACGCTGCCCTAGCCTACTGTGTGGATGGCATGCGCATAGGGCGCGTGGAGTCGTGCGCCCGTCTGTGCTTGATGGGAGGCGCACAGACTGCGCCTTGTGCCCCACGCGGATGGGACATGCTCACAAGTGCACGTCCTGTGCTAGCCACGCGCATGCACATCCTCTCCCCACACGAGTGGGATCCTTCCGGTGAGATTTCTTCTATTTTTCTTTTGTTTTTTTCCAAAATCTTTTTAATTAATTTTAAATACAAATTTATTCACGATTAAATTAAATAAAATAATTTTAATAATTATTTAAATAAATATATAATTAAATTATGAAATTCATCCAAAACTCAAAATACAAAATTTAAAGAGTTTTAAAACGATTTTAAAATTCAAATAAATAGCGGTTCACATTAGAAATTAAGTATGAAGGTTTTTGAATTAGTCTACCAATAAACTTTCTGTATATTAAACAAATTATTATTATTATTATTATTAGAAGGTTAGAATGAGAATACATATTCAAGCCATAAATTATGAAGCCTGAAAGTTGTTCCACATTTGCTGCTGAGAGAATAAGAAATCAAGTTGTAGTGAAATCAGAAAATGATTGGGACGATAATAAATAGAAGTTAGGGAATTAAGTGTGAGGGTTATAAATAATTTATTTTGTGGATTAGATACTAACGAATTTAATAAAATTTCTAGTTGTGATCGATCAAAATCCTTTCTGAATGATAATATTATTCATGAAAATCAAGTGAGGAAACAAAAATGAAAAGGTATCGGGGCGAATTATGGTGACATCAGTTAACGCGATAAACTTCCGAATATTAGAGAAGATTTGGTAAATTAGCTTTTAGGACACGGTTTAGGGGGAGAGGATTTTGCCAATTGAAGCTCTACTCCATTGATGTTGTATTTGTGTTGCATTTATGGTGAGCTCTAAATCACTAGAAGTTAGTTGCTTGCTTTTTTATTACCGAGTCCAAAGGCTAAGGAAACAAATTTTTCTAAACAAAAGAAGAAATCTAATTAATTATAACTACAATTAGGTTAAAATTTTAGTATAATTTTTTGATGGGTTAGGAGTAAACTGGGTTTGGACGCATTTTGTTCATCTCTTGTCAATTTTTTGTTCTTATTCTCGTACCAGTCTTAATATGCATAATGAAACAGAACATAATTTTTTTATGATGGATGAGTGTTAACACTAACCCACTTGAATTCCTTAGTGGTCGAAATTCTGAATCCTGCCGAAGGGGAGTGATGGAATCTGCAAGTGCAATGACCTGTGTTTTAATTAACATATTAAAGATGAATGTGAGAATTAGAACTAGGGTTTGAATCTAATGCAGCTTCATAGTTCTACAGCATACAATGTTTGATTGAAGTGAGCTTTTTGCTTTTTATGTATTTTTCAAGCATATTCATCTTCAATGTCCATTTCGCTGCGCCTACGAAACAGATTAGAATTTAATTAAAATATTATTTTAAACTTGATCTGGGCTTTTTTTACATTTGGAGAAATATATATATTTGTATAGTGGAAGAGACAAAAGGTTGCTTACCCATATGGCCCATAAATATTAATAACTTCTCCTTTGAAAAGCATACACAAATAATCACATATAACATTTTTTAAAAAAATAATAATAATAAATATCAATATTATTAATGTATGGAAGTCTTCAAGTTAATTGTCTTGGGACCTAAAAGCCCATGTGAAGAGTAGTGGTACCTCGATGACATTAATCCACAACCCTACGTCTGTAGTACTATTTTAATATAATAATATTTCTTATTATATAATATTTTTAAAGACGTGGCCGCCAAATTATCAGATACATTTGACAGAAAATATATTTTTATTCCTAAAAATTCTATATATATATTTACGACTGCGATCAATTTCTTTATTTTAATTGTTATCTAATGAAATTTCTTCTGTAATGTAAGACTGCTTTTATGTTAATTAATTTATTTGTACCTATTTGCTATACATATATAATGTCAGTCATACCTAGTGGAACTTCTCGGTCAACCTTGGGGGGCGTGGCACGAATAGCAAGCAACATTAAAATATCTCAACCTAAAACTTTGTTTTTGTCATAATATTTTTAAACATGTGGGACATGTGGTGAATTGAATTTAATAAATATACTCAATAACATTTACTTTTCAGTATGAATGAGATCTCCACCACACTAGTTTTCGTACTAGAGAAAAAAGAAGAAGAAGAAGAAGAAGCCTGAAAATGGATACTACAAAACCAGCTTGGTTAGTTATCTTCTTCTTTTTATTTATAATTTTTACAATAAAATCATCGTATGGGTCCATTGAATATGAGCCAGTACTTGACATCGATGGCATGCCAGTTTTCTATGATGTCAACTATTTTGTGGTGTCGTCAATTCGAGGAGGTGGTGGTGGTGGACTCAATATTACCGGACCTGAAAACGAACACAGTTGTCCTCTGAGTGTGACGCAAGAATCATTAGATCTAAATGTAGGCGAACGAGTAATATTTTTACCAATAAAAGGCGATAAAGATAATATTGTTCGTGAATCTACTGATTTAAATGTCAAGTTTAATATTCTTATAGATTGCGAAGAGACAACTGGGTGGAAAGTTAATCGTTTTGAAGGAGTGGATGGATGGGTGGTGACGCTTGGAGGAGATAAAGGTTATCATGGTCCTGGAACTGCAAGTAGCTTGTTTAAAATCCAAAAAGGTCGATTTCCATCTTCGTATAAATTTCATTTTTGCCCTTCGTATCCTCGTACACGTTTAATTCCTTGCAGCGATGTGGGTATTCTTTTCGACAACCAAAGCATTAGGCGTCTGGTACTTAAAGAGGAAGAAAAAGACTTTGTTTTCATAAAAGCAGAGAAGTTGATGAATTATCCAAATATTGTGATATAATGTTGTAATATCACTAGTTATAGATCATATATATATGCATGTTAAGCATGATGATGCTCTAAAATAATTATTATTATGTACTACTGGTGTTTTACTTGGATGAATAAATACATATAGTTTGCTTAATTAATAATGTTAGAATTTGATGAACCATTACGATTTATTCCTTTCATCCAACTCCACATGCTTTATTTTTCTTTTTTGGAATTTTAAGAATTTTTTAGAGGAAGAATGTTACAAATGAAGTTATGGTGTTTATAAAGATTACAAAAATCACCTAACATGGAGACTACTATTGATCGTATAAACTAAAGTGTTAATCACAATATATGTACTCCATACCTAAGTGATCATGGTGTTTTTGGGGTTTTATTAAAGAGAGAAGTTAATTGCAGCATCATCAAGTGATTAAAGAGGAATTTTATAGAAGGAAAGGCACTAGGTTTTTAAAACAAAGTTGGAAGATTTTAGAGATGACCAGTAGCTTTATTAAGTTAGAAACTACAACACCAACTTCTTTTTGGAAAAAAGACACAGAAAACCATCCAAATCAGCTCTTAATTTGCTCCAATTCTCATCCCATGAGATCAAGTTTACTTATATATAATTGTTTAAAACACTAGATATTAAGTTTGGAGTTCTTGCAGCATGGTCGAAATTTCTC